AAAATTCTTCAAAGGATGACCCTTGTGCATCGATACATTTTTCAGTGTGATTTTCTTGCCACTCCCAGTTGGCGAAGAAGTATTTTAAAGCCCTCTTCGTACTTGTTTCGATGTTATGCAAAGCCTCGAAATGCATTTCCTTCACGACCCTTTCCGCCAGAGGGAACTAAAAGAAGTCAACCGTGTCGGATAGTCCCCGACAACGAAGGCGATGTGGGCCGGCGCACTGTCGTCGTGTCGCCTCTAGGAAGCACCGATCTCTTTTCTGATGCGGGTGGTTCCGCCGTTCACTCTCTGGAGCCCTTGTTTGTACAAAGTGCCGTATGCGGTGCGTCCAGGAGGTACAAACTCACTGTGCACTCTCCCCTTGGTGAAACAAATCAACAACGAGCATGACTTCTGGTGCTCAGGCGAGTGTCCTTGGAGCGCGGAGACGCCACGGTGTGGCGCTACGGGCTCTGCCCTTTTGTTTCCGGCTCATACACGTTCCCTTCACATTTATAAAAGTTACCAAAAATTACAATGAATTTTACGAAAATTTCCATCGGTGTCTTGTTCAACTTGTTTACGTATCTTTCATTCAATGATTTCCCCATCGTAAGTACGACACGACAACTACATACGAGCTCACAAACGAACACGTTCTATTTCCCCCCAGGCAATGGAGACAACCTAACTATTATCCTATGAAAAGTTAAACCTCCCCTTACCCTATCCAAAGTAGCCTGACCGTTCTGTGACTGATAGTGACGTCAAAATAAATTGTGACGCATTACTTTTGGGATAGACCTTGTATGCTTTTTCTCTGTTGCGGCACTACACGCACACTCGATGTATATTTCGAAGTCGCACACATTTTGTTTTTTATGCATACATATTGTGAATCGGCAGACTAGGAAGAGCACGATAAGATGGTCATAACATCGGCAACAGCATTTGACGCGTCGTCACCCGGGCAGCCAATATCCTTCCCATGACTCCGGCCGCGGAAACCTACGACTTCACGGAAGTTAACTTTGTTAAGAATCACTCAGCTTAGTGTTAAAGAAATTTCGAATTGTCTGAAGGTACTAAATTATAAATTATGAGTTCTTGCCAGTTAACTGAAACTGTTGAAAGGTACAATTTATGCCAAGAGGTGCTTGATGTTTGTTTCTGTGTGTGTGTGTGTGTGTGTGTGTGGTGTGTTGTGTGTGTGTGTGAGGAGGAGAAGAGAGAGAGAGAGAGTGATGAGAGTGCATTTGAGGTTGTTGACTGCAATGTTTTTTTGGTTGTTTTATAGGGTTTAGGGTTTTACTGATTTTTTGTGCTTTGTTTTGTTGTATATATGTGTGTTTGTTTCTTGTTCAATTTCCAAACTTCGATTATGTCTCACCAGATCCTTAAATTAATAAGAACACCAGGAGACACGGATTCGAATCTCGGTCGGGATGACAATTCTTTGGACACATTTGATTAGTAAAGTACATTTAATACTCAGTATGAAGGTCACCACTTGGTACTCTTTACGTCTTCGTAACAAATTTCCGAGCGTAAACGCGTCCAAAAAAGTGTCAGGGTGGTGACAATTATTAATAATAATAGTATAATTATTGTTTCAAGGATAACCCACAAAAAATCTGGGTACCTTCTCTAAAGTGACGAGTGGTCATAATATGATTGTTGATTTAATACAAAGGAAAAATAGTGTATATCCTATGATCACATGTTTGCTATTTACGTATCGACTACACTACGGAGATTCTGAAGTTCCATCAGTTTATAGGCTGTGATTTGGTCAATTTTCTAAAGGGCGTGTGGATTTAATTAAAAATAGATATTGTCTCTCAGAGAAAAAATGACATTTATGTGATAAACTAATTTTTTTACTACTAGCCGAAGATTATTTTGTTAGAAAGGGTAATAACGTATTTGGTTTTCACGTAGCGTAACAAAGTCCTTTTTTGTTGCGTCAACCTGGACGTAACGCCTGTAAATCCTCATGAGGGCATTGAGCCTATTGCGTTTGGAGTAATCTTCCGTTAACATTTTTTTTTAAAATTTGTCTGTCCAGTCTCGTTGCAGTCAGTTGTCCAGAGGACCACCAGGTGGCACCTCCTCTTACGCGCCTCCTACCTCGCGCTCCTGCGTTTCTACCGCGGCCAGAATGGGAAGGAATTAGGAGATGGGAACTCTTCACAGGGATCGGACTAACTCCTAGGAAGCAGACAAACTCGTTTTGTTGGAACAAATTTTAAGATGAGATTCGACAGGAATCGAACCCGGAAATCCTTGCGAAAGAGCGAGCGACTTCGCTCTACTTCACGAGATCCTTTTGAAAAGGATGCAAATAAAATTGATATAATTAGCGACATGGTGCTATATCGTGATGCTCTATTACATTTATTTTTTTAAAAATAAATTGTTTTCTTAAAAATTAAAATTTAGAATAAGGTCTTTTGGTTATATCAAGAAAACAATCTGAGATAATACGACCACTATATACGTTCATTGGATTGTACTACATGCAAAAGTTGTCACATATTTCCAAATGGATAATTTTTATACTTTTTAAACTCAAGTATTTTACTTCACTTCAGCTCTTTTGTCAAGTTTTCAAGACAAATGATCCAAAACTTACCCACAACTTACAAAGTATTACTACACAATACTAATTAACATTCTTGCGGTATGCAAATAAATAATGTAATCAAGTGATAATTTTATGCCAATACAATTAACGATTTCTACTTCATATAAAGATAATTTCTTTACAAGGAATTTTATTATTGTACTTCTTTGTTTCAACTTTAAATTGACGCAAATTGATGTTATAAGCACATTACTTTTGTAAACAAATTTCTAAAAGACGTGAAGCTGTGAAGCTCATACTGATTGTTCTTCAATTTCTATTGGGTGAAGAATTTCTTTGGTTCAGATAAGTGAGAACAATATTTTAACTTTCCAGATATTAATATATCATTAATCACATTTAGAAAGGTATTATATTTCTCAAATAAAATACATGTAGACCGAAGCTAGTTGACACTGCAGTTTTGGGTGTATTAACATCTTCATTATAAATTTATTTTTATTGTAAATATTATACCTATTTCATGCGAACTATATAATCCTATTTAGGTACGTTTTATTGGATGCTTTCAGTTGTTTGATAAAACTGTTTATACTAAGCACATCTTCATATTGCCTGTGAATAGCTAAGTATCTTTAACTTTGTCGAAAAAACCAGAAGAGTAATCGTCAACATTTTTCCCACATAATCGTTATTAAAACATCAAGGTTTATTTCAGGAGATTATGATGTTTCATGAAATGAAAATCTTTCAAATTTTTTTTTACAATGGCCCCCAGATTATTTATTATTTATTTTTCAGAAAATGAATATGTTTGTTTTCAACAATAAATAACATTTGTTGGTTTTATTGATTTGTTTTAATGATCAAGCATTGTAATCATATTATTGTTAAAATTTAGTATATAAGTTTTACTTTCTGTATTATCATGCAGTTACTTATGCCACAGTATACCTATTTATAATGTTGCGCAGCTCAGTTAGTTTTGAACATTTGAAACTGAGACGAAAATGAAACGGACAATTTTAAGCCTCCCAAGCGCTATCTGAGTAAAGACGTTAATAAAAATGTTGCAATTTTTTAGAACATTTTGAAAATGTGTGTTGTGGCTTCATGTAATGATTTGTAATTTCCGTTAGACTCGCAGGACTTCGATCTTCGCCTAGCTCGATCGGGGATCAATTAGGAGAAATCGACTGTATTGTTTCGGCCCTGTAGTTGAACACATAAGTTCGGAAACATTGATTTGCCTTCAATCGAGTTTTCGATACTAAGAGCACACTGTGTGTAGATTATGACTACACAAAAAGTCAGAATAAGTAATTTTCAGAATGTGGGAAAACTATCCACAACACAAGATTTTGTCAAAAAAGCCAGCACTTTCGGCCGCAGAATTACATTACTCTCACTTTATTACGTACGTGCGTAGAGAAAGTGTAAATAAATCACCCACATCTACACAGAGTTATTTAGAACAAAAACAATTAATGAAGAATATCATATTTTAAAATCAAAGGAAAATTCAACAATCCGAACTCTCAAGCAAAACGTGTTTATTTGATCTGTAGAGTGATAATTTTCAGACATTGCAAATAGATAAATGTAACGAAAGGAATACATATAGGCTCACGCAGTAGCATACTTGATTCTGTCCATAACTGTGGCACGTTTCAAGCGGGAAATAATGTTAGAAAAAATATAAAACTCTAGGGATAAATACGGTCAGTCGCTCAAAAAACAGGAAATGAACAATATTTTATTGGAGCTTCTACGATTGATTATCCAAAACCATCATTTCCCGCCGACCCGACCTCTGGTATTAAAGTGAATGAATTGCATTATGTTCCGGCAGTTTTGATCACCAGAGCCAGGCGATGTTTTCCACGGTAACTCTTAATGTTCTTCTGTTTATCGGTGGCTATCGAGGACTTCACAAAATCTCCTTAATCGCTGTTCTTGAACGAATGCCTTCTCACAGATGATGCACAACGATGTTGGTAAATTCTTTACCTTATTCTTTGTGTCTTCTTTGGTCGTTAGGACAATCGTAACTCTAGGTTGCACAAGGTGCTTCATAAGCACATTTTAGAGCTCTCTAGTACATTTTAGAGCTCACAATGATCCGAAGCATCGTTCTCTTATTATAACTCGTCCCCTCATCACTTTCAGATGTAAGTGGCGGTCATAAATTCCTAAATGAGGAAAGTCGGAAATTTACACATCGCTCTCAGTTTCAATATAGCTGTTTGACGATGTTACTTGCGGACCCCTCTACCATATCACCCTTCAGCTTCATCCGCATGCTGACTTCCTTTGCCCTTAGAGCAAACGCACTTCGCGCAGTCACATTCCCTAGACAATGTTGGAGGCCAACGCACACATTCCCTAGACAATGTTGGATGCTGAGTTTGCGTATGTTTCTCTGTCATCACTCCTCACCGCCTTCTTCAGCCCCCCATCCTAGGCGCTTTGAGGTCTTAGCGCAAACACACTTGGATGCGTCGCACGGAGTTCTGTCGAAAAGACCTCCTTCTCCAGGCTCCTCTCCAGGCGGACCCTGCCCCGGGTACCCTTGCTGCCCCGGGTATCCGTACGGCGGCGGGTACTCGCCCTGGTGCGTGGGCAGCCACGCGGGACCGCCGGGCTGGCCGGGCTGGCCCCTGCCCGGGATGTCCGGGGGCGCGCCTTTGCTCAGGCGGTACTTGCGCGCGTTCTCGTGGCACTCGCAGGGGCCCGTCTGGAAGGCCAGGTACCTGCCCTGCACGGGCCGGTCGTTGGGCGGCGCGCCGCCGTAGCCCGGGCCGTAGCCGGGGCCGTAGTCGGAGCCGTAGCCCGGGCCGAAGCCGTAGCCCGACTCTTGGGCGCGCTTCACCGCGCCCTCCGTCATCGCCTCCATCTCCTCCTGCTCCATCTGCATCAAGGACTTCTGGCGCGCGCGCGCCATCTCCTCCTCCTGCTTCCGCTGCACCTTCATTTCGCGCGTCTCCTTGTACGGCTTGCGGTACTCGCGCGTCGTGCGCGGGTCCAGCTTCTTCGCGGGCCCGTAGTAGAAGTAGCCTGCGAGCGGAGAGCGCGCGTGTGAAGCGAGGGCAAAAGGCTAATAAAAGGAAAGCACGCCATGGAATATATCACATTAACCTCCAATTATCAAAAATTCACACATTTCAACAAAACTTTAAAATAATTAAAGATGTTGTCATTGCCAACAATGCCAAAGATATCCAAAGATATCCTACCACAACACCTAAAACTTTAAAATCTTTACAACGGATTTTGAGAAAATGTGTTGTCTATGAAATGCATTATATTCAAGCCGAAATTATACAAAAATGAGCCGCCCTTTTACTAAAAAAGCTCATTACAGCTCGATTAAAGAGCCCCAAGGTAAGTTGGTGCGCACAGCGTTCGCTCGTGCGGGCCCAGTGAGCAGCGGGTTTCCAGCATTTAGCGCTAACCGACTGCTCTGTCGCTAAATATTTGCTACTAGAGCCCTGCAAACCGTTGGACATATGAGCACTTTTACTTTCTCGCCCGCAAGAAGGAGCTTCCTAAGGGCAGATGGCACATTTTAGCTTGGGTATACCTTCAACTCTTTTCCACAATATAACGCTTTATATCACTGAATTGAATAAAAAATACAAATCGGCTTTGTTTTCAGACTCTGTGGGCTTTTTCTTATCACTGATGTTTAATAACCAAATTTGCATGTATTATCGTTTTCCCTCAAATATTTATTTGATTTATACAAGTGGAGTGGAAGAGATAGCGTCGTACTTCATTCCAGTGTTTTTTTCTCTGAAACTATTAATGTTCCAAAGTTTATGTGTTTCAATATATTAGGTATAAACTTCGTGACATATGAAACTATTTTTCTGCGTTCTGTTAGACAGTTAATGAACAAAAAACTGTAAATACAATGAAATTTTGTTTCTATTATATATTTAAAACAGCATGATTTTGAAACTTTTAGAACATATCACATTCATTCATAGCTCACAAGTAAGAAATGGTAACATTTAAATCGTCTGCCAAGTTTCGTATATGTAGAATACATATTGTTTGAGAAAACTGCACCTGAATGTGAAAAAGTTGCTTTTGAAGAAAAAGCGTGCTATTGGTTTGGCTATGCACACCAGTCACCACATGAAATGGCAACACTTTTCAAGTACATAAACATTTACACTTAACAAAATATTGTAAGAAATTATACAGTATACTAATAGTAACAATCATTTAATCACTGTGTCTACTATTTACAAACAGAGTCACTTTTTTCTCCTATGTGGCATAACGTTTCTCCTCGGGTCGATGGTGTGGATCTTGTAGCAGGAGTTACAATTGTTACAGTGGAAACATCAACTTTATTTTAACTCGTTTTCTTTGTAAAACAATTGACATAAAACTTTTTTTGCCAATATTTTTTATTCTATCCATTCTGACGGGGAAAAGATCTGTCTTAGCAACAAAACCTGAAAAACCACCACACAACACGCGTAGCCAGAAATTTCAGCAGAAACAACTATACAAGTTCCGTGGACGAGGACAATAGAGCATCACTTTTTAAAGGCGAGTCAATATATCCTAAGAAAGATTTACTTAACAAAAAATATTCCGAAATTATCTTACAACCGATTGAAATAAAATTGTAACAGAGAAAGCCGGCGTAATCTATTTACAATTGTGTGCACAGGAAGTTTAAAATTGCTATTTAAACCATTTCAATGATTCAATTGTGAGAAAAGTTTATATAATCCGCAAGAGAAAAGTTTTGGGATATTTGTGAGAAAGAATACAAAAAATTATATTTAAAAAATATCTATCACTTCCTTAACAAGAGAAAGTAAAGTAATGTAATGCTGCGCGAAAAACAGTAAATTTTAGGCAGAAAAACTCTTATTACACATAGTAACGAAAAAGTGGTAAATGGTAACGAAAAGGTCAATAAATCCAGTGACTTCATAATAAAACCTGGTATAGCCACAAAAAAAATGGTACAGCCAAACTGGACGTGTTGCAAGAAATATTACGAAAAATATTCAACATACGCAAATCTATGAACATACTCCTTGTGATCTTCAAATGGTGGCTCTTAAAATTAATTTTTCTATAGGTCCAGTTTATATAATTTCTCATTACGAACCACCCAATAAAAAATATTTAAATCAACTTTTGAGTCACTTCTTAATGTTAACTCTACAATACTTTTAATATGTGATTTAAATGCTAAAGATCAAACTTGGGTTTGTAATACAACCTCACCTCAGGATTCTTTCCTTTACAGCCCTATTGATACAAATACCTAGGCAGTTCATGCTCCTCTACGCCCTACTTATTATCCTTATAACCCAAAAATTACTCCAGATATATTATAATCCCTCATCATTTTAATCTTACAATATTTCAAAATGGTATACCAGCCTTAAACTCAGATCATAATAGTATTTCAATTAGCTATAATAATACACTTACTCATAACTTAATAATTCATTAGTTACAGACAAAATAAAATGGAAACTTTTATCATACTACTTTGCCATCCTTTACTACTTACCCTTTTTCTGTATCTACCACCTGCATCTTCCTACAACTACAATTATTGTGATGACACATTTTTTCTTAATTAAAAAACAGATCTTCGAATAAGGTCATGTTCAATGTTTTCAAAATATGAGTATTTTTTGAGTAATGTGAATACAATGTCGCCCGCTCCAAATTTGCTGTTTCATAAACATACGCTGAGAACGGTTTGGAAGTAATTGCTATTCTTATAAAAGAAATTAGATTGATGAATGGTAATAAACTTAACTTAGCACTAACAAACTTCTTTATTCAAAACATTTTGAGTGCGGATTATTGGAAGTTTCATTTCAGAAAGTTAGAAAAGACTACTGTTCCTGGCTATCGAAATAAATGCAGATATTCCCCACAAGCGCTTCCTTTGAACTGGTTGGGTTTGCATATTAGCATTATTTTAATACTTTACATGAGAGAAAAATTGGTAACATTAATTTTTACGAACATTTTTAACTTTATATTAATAATTGTGCTGCTTTAGAAAACAATGCAGCGATGTATATTTCAGAAATTCATTGTTGAACGAAAACAATATAAGATAATAAAATGTAAAATTCTGTTGAATTCTACTCTTTGTTGAATATTGGCATTCAACCTTGGCATGTTATGAGGTCTTTATTGATTTATTTATACATATTTTTTTATCTAATGTGAAAAAAGAAAAACTGTGTGTGTGTGACGTATTACGGGGAGAAATGTATTCAGTAAATGTTTTCGTAATTCAGGTATCCCTACCATCCCTCACCCATTTACATGTTGAATTCTGAATGCAGTAGAATAAGTGAAGGCAATTTGAGGAAAACGTCTCAGGTGTTAAAACGTGTAGAGTATTTACCATTGGAGACACAAGGAGTAACGTGTAATTAGTGATAAAACGAGCATATTTGAAGAATATTACAATACTATTATATATTTTCCGATTTATTTTCATTTGTTTGCCAACGCTATCAGTATCGTATTATTTATTAACTTATAATTATTTTCCTTTCTCACATTCTGCTTATTTTCGAATCAAATGTCCTACGACTTCATATGTGTTTTACAAAAATTAATTCTGAGAGAAATTGTGGTATTATTAGTATTACATAACCATTGCTAATAGCGAGAAAGAACGTCCTGTTTATGCTCCACTAGTTCTTCTAAAAGACGCAAACCCGTTTGAACGAAGCTGCATATGTCGCTTGTGTCGCTACAAATACCGATGTCAAATTCGGTGCGGACCAACAACTGTTTGCTTTACAATGGCCACTCCGTCCGACTCAAGGACAGGCATGTAGCAGACATGTAGCAGGTAAGCGCGGTTTCAGCTGAAGATTGGAACCGACGCAAGTCTGTGTACACCCTGGCCAGGAGAGTACAATAAATTAGCGATCACGGCTATATCGACAAATATATATTGTTGTTGTCGTAGGAAGACGGTGATAAAACCTTTTTCTGTTTACGAAAAACAAGGAAAAAGGAAATCATTATCTGAAGCATTCTTTGCAGTATTCAAGAATGATAATTGAAACAAATGTTTGTAATTATTGAAAAAGATTTTAATATGATATTGAAGCTTTATGCGAAGTACCCCCAATTCATAATAACCATTTCAAACTCACAGAATCTTGGGTTTGTTGAGGTAGGTTAGGAAATATCCATTTTTGAGATTATTGGCTGAGCGCTTTGGGCGCTAGCTTTAACCCCAGGCGGACAGACGAACGTACAGATCAATCGATTTCATGGCATTAAGAGCCCACAAAACATGAATTCCGTTTACACAATGTGTTAGTGGAAGTAACTTATTATACATGGAAACAATGTTTATCCACATGTTTACTAGGGCTTAGCAATAAGAGTTTTTAGTTGAAAATTCACCATTTTCCGGCGCAGAATACAGTCTCTTCTTACGAAGTAATGGCGAGAAAGGAAAAGAAATATGAAAGGAAAAAATTGATTTAAACGCAAACAATATTCATCAAAAGATCATTTGCCACAACGCTTACAGTACTAGAATGATTTGTTTAATAAAAAATTGCAACAAAAAATGATTGCATCATCAAATGTACGAGTATCATTTGAGTGAAATCGACAAGACAATATTCATCTGAAGATAGGTTTGCGATATTTGTGAAATTACTGCCAATTTTCTGGACGGCAAACCTGCAAACTTAATTTCGATCTGTATGAAATCTTCAAACCTGTAATAACTACAGAGACAAACCTACAAAAGCGATTAACAGATGTGTAAGAAAAGGTTTTTTTCGTTACAAAGACTTCGAGAATTTCTGCTATAAGTCTCAGAGGTTTTTGAAGGTCATTTGCAGTTTTCTGATCCTACTTTGGTGTAAATATTGTGTATGTAAAACGAACACTACAAAACAATTAGATTTACAAATACGTCCAAATATATCACCAATGTATGTATCTCCACCAATGAGGCACCGTCAAGACGGGTCAAGTGCTCAGCTCTCCACTGATCTACCGACGGGTGCAGTAGTGTACTGGGTGAATGTAAGGGCAGAGGATAGGACAAGGAAGTGGAAAGCATCGCGTGGGGTTCAATGCCGATTTCTTAAGGTACTTCTCGGCCATTCGCTGGGTATTGATCGGAGAAAGCTCTGAAAATTACCGGTGGGAATAGTCGGCTGCCACAAGTCTTTAGACAGCGGGTGAATTCCGCTTAGCTATCTGCCTGGTGTCCAAAATACGCCAAAGTCAGGACTCGAACTGTAGGACCTCACGCGCTGCAGGGGGATCCACGATTGCGTAGGTAGTCGTAATTTCTGGTGGAGAAAAATAAGGGGGAATAAAATTGGAATAAGCGTCCTCCGGGACCGTGAGCTTCACGGCGCAACACAAGTCGAAACTCTGAGAGGTGGCTTGTTATTGACCCTGGGCGGGATTGGGCGTGGAATGCGTTAGCCGGCATCCCCTATGCAGCTCTGCGACGCACGTCAAACCCACATACTGAAGTCGAGGAACACGAACCTCCTGTCAGGTGGCCCAGGTGCCGGCCGACTCACGTCGAGAGCCTGGAAGGGGAGACAGTGAGGAGATGGGGTGGGGGCCCCGGGAAAAGACCCAAGAGGCTCGGGGCAGTGGGGGGCCCGGGAGCCTCAGTTGGGCACTTGGCTCCGTCGTGGCAGCAGCCCGACACTGGGCAAAGAGGAGGGCCTTGTCCCCGGCGCTTGTGACTGACGCATTGATTTGACTCCGGCACTAGCCTGGCTAGCTAGGAGCTCTGAGCTGGCCGGGCGGGTTGCCGTGAGGGTACACTGCGGCATGTGGATACCAGCCTGTCGGCGTACTTGTACGTTGGCGGGGGTGAGGATAATAGCGAAAAGCTTAGGTGCCCGCCCTACGACTAGTGCATGTGTGGTAGAAGACCACCAAGGATCTATACGTGGCACCTCACGGGCGAAATCCCTGCAGAGACAGCGGCAGCGCTGGCCGTGGGCTAACGCAGTCGCATCGGTCGCTCGATGTGGAATGTTTTCGATTGTGCGAGTGGTGCGGTCATTCTCGAAGAGACTTAACTGTCACAGACATGAACGCGTCGCCGTATTTTGCTTATGGAAGGATTTTTATTCTCGGTCTAGCTATATGTAGTTTACGTGGTTTTGTGACGATAGACCAAAATCTTTTAAGTAATAAGTCAAATATTAATTTCCAAACTAGGGTTTTTATGTATAAGAAAAAAATAAAATAATCAAAACAAATGTTTTCCATATTCTGGTGGCATACCTTCTGGTGGTTTATCCCGAAAACAACAGAAAACCTTATACAAACATACTCCCCAGTTGAAGCGGTCAATCTCTTTTTTTCTTCTTGCTTTTAGGTACTTCATATATTTTGTATCTCCAACCTTCTTTTGATTTTTATTTTTTTCTTCCTCTTCGAATTCTTTTTTGAGCTGAGCTCTTTTCTTCCCAGGAGGGAGTAAAGGCTCTACGTAAACCTCTACGGACTGATGATCGATTTTCACATCTAGAAGAATGAATGCCAAGTCAGTATTAATGACTTTAAGCCATAGAAGCCCCTATTATTGTTTAGGCTTTCTTTGACAAATTTGAAGATACCGTTCTATCTTATGAGAATAAATCATTAAATTTTAAATATAATTGTTTATTTGTATAGATAGCACAGTGGCGTCAAGGCTCGTGGCTCTTCATCCTCCCCAGAAGACAATGATACTCATTAAAAATATTGATTTTACTAATTTTCTGTACTAATTAGTCATTCCATATTGAAACTGTTTACATTATAAATACTACGTAACACTGCATGACAATGTGTAGCGGACTGTTACTTTCAAAATATCTTTGATTCAAAATAGATTTGTCTTTTTACGTTCGTCATGATAGACTGAAAAAATGTATAGTTCCATTTGAAAAACCAAAGATACCCCAAATATCTCCTAAAATACAAGTGATCAAGTAGAAATAAATACACATATCAGTTCCATTCTCTAATGCACTTCCGTGAAAACTGCGTTGCAATAACTTCAATCATTCAAAAGTTATAGGAGGTACTGAAGCTACCTGACTCATCCTGTGCCTCAATTCAAAATTTAGGAAACGTATGTAATTTATCAGATATTTGCATTAGTAAGAATCTCTTAGTTATAATAAGAGGTGAAGGATTTATTTACAAATCCGATTTATTTTAGCACAATTAGGCACTCATGTCGAACATTAGGGATGTATAAATTGTACGGACATTTTATTCAGACGTCATTCCATGCACTTATTGAGAATTAGGACATTTCATAAATTATTGCCAATTAGTAAAAGTTCTCTCGTTTAGAACGTTTGAATAATAACAGCGAAGTAGGTAATAGTTTGCGACGTATGAAGATAAAAGACATCACAAGGCTGGACATCTGAAAAGACGCGCGAAGATTGTGCATAAGCAATGAAAGACAACTTAACTGAGGTTTTCACAAAACTGATTAATATCAAAGGTCAATATTCATCTAAAGTGAGATTAAGATTTAATATAATAGTGTTCGAATAATTGAATAAATATTATATTTATTTATTTGGAAGAAAGTCTGATTAATTGACAGTAGTTCGCAAACAATTCTTTCAATTGATAAAATTTCCAGAAATCGCTAATCCGTATTGTGAGCCCGTCTGTGTATGACAAATAAGTCAGTCGTATGTCGATCTAATATGTCGGAATATGCTGAACAATAAATATTAATGGTAGACGGCAATATGATAATATTGGTATGAAAGAAGATTTATTAAATAAAAACATGAGCAACGTTACGAGGAAAAAGAACATAGTTGCTTTTACGTAGGAATAAATGATTGATATTATTAGTAATATAATTTATATTGCGGAAGATAATTAATTAAAATGTTAATATAAATAAAGGAATTATTTTCAAATATGTTGGCCAGCATGTTGACATTTTGTATGCGTAATGCTTGTATGTAATGTTTAAAGATTGTATGTTAATTTCATTGAAGAGAAATGAAATCATCTAGATGATCATTGGTATTAAATGGGCTCCTTCTTAGGACATTTCTTTCTGAAGGATTCGGTTTGTTTAAAAACGTTAAGCACTTGCGTAGAGCTAAAATACGTTAACTTACTTGATGCACCTGACTGGTACATGATTGCAAACACTAAGAGGTCTTCATATGCTGCAGATTCACTAATTCATAATTTTCTTTCACTACAAAAAATTAAAATATATTTAAAAGACTCATCAATAATTACTTCATATAGTAATAATTCTATAAGAAGAGCAAGTACAAAATTCTGACGCAAACAAGATGTCAATAACATTGTACCTCCATAATGATAATCCTGAGCAATATTAATTTAAATCTGCTACATACCTTGACGGAGAGTTAGGTTTTCAGATTGCTATATAATTTAAGTTATATTTACATTATTATTGATTCTAGTACGATAGGTCTTCATTATTAAAATATTGTTGCATATTTCCATTTTTTTGTTTTGATATTTTTTTCACATTACGATAAATTTTACATTAAATTAAATTACATGTTAATTTTTAGTTCATTTTTTGGTGACATATGTATTGGTTGATCTATCAAAGCCTCCTGCAGTTTTATTTATATTATTTATATTTAGAATGCATCAACTTAATTTAGCCGAACCTTTGCCATCACATCACTCAATGGAAGATCTGTAAAAAATTAGACACTTTCTGTCGCACGATTACAATACTTTCTCTAGTTAAGAAGTGCAAGTAAAATGTATTGTATTATTTGCTTAGTACTTCACCTTCAACATTGCTGAAATGGAACTATTACATATACTGGAACAATACAATCATTATTTGCTACGAAGATGGAATTAAGTATGGAAGTCGGAAAAAAAGTGATGGAAATGCTTTATGCTTAAAATGATAATTACATGTGGGTTGGAGTGTGCTACTGCAAAAACAAGATCTACTCTTCACCTTAATGTTATACATCACTTAGTTATGGTTATTTGAAGGGTCTTGTGCGTCAGACATTACTGGGCATTACATTTAAATGCATTCAGTAATATTTGCATTTAAAATCATTCTTCGAACATAAAGAAATCACTGTTTTATCTTCACTAACTGTAACCCTCACATGCTTCAATTCACAAGGATACAAAATTTGAGCAATGAAATATTGAACGAATAACGGTAGATTGTCCATTCTAGTAAGACATTAGTAAAATTGTGTGTTAATTCTATGTAATCGGTTGAGTACGTGTTAACACATATGCCACTGCCTTTGATTTAAAGAAAACTGACCTCTCTTTGCCTTGTTCCCACCTGGATACACTCTGTGTTCTTCACTCACTTTCTCACAAAAAATGTCTATATTTTTTTAATTGGATATTTATTGGATATATTATTTCCATTATTTCAATCAATTGACAGATTGTAAAACTTATCCTACTTCATATTTTTTCTTACAAGTATTTATAAGGAAAAGTTCATAATTGATTTTTGACCCTCGCCAAGCAATTGAAATATACATATAAATGCTTTTAATAGAATTCGAGTTCACGTTTTAGGGTTCTTGATAAAGAGTGGCAGACAGAAAGATGCTATTAATCACTTAGACAACTATAATACCTCCAAAAGTCACACATTGGTTCACGACTTCATGAAGATTTTTCTGTTATCTAAAAGCTCTTTTGTTCTATTTTTCACAACCTTGAAAAACAGTGTTGGCGTACATTCAATTCCTTTCATTTCTCACTACTCTTTTACTTTATTAATACTTCTTACCGAACTTTCATCAATTTAAATAATTATTCCTTAATCAGCAAAAGGTTCTTATTCTCCAATATGATAAAACACTTCCCTAGAAAAATGCATCCAACTGCCACAGTTTCATAATCATATTCATTACTCATTCATAGTAAGTTTCCCGTCCACTCACCCCTTCCCAATCGCAAATATACTATAACTAAAGCAATAACTATTTCATGTAGAACACACGTGTATCCATACCGTTTTACGACAACATCTAACTTCCATCAGCGAAATGTCGTTTTCCAAAAATATATATAAGATAAAGTATACTTTTCTCTTGTACATTTAATACATTAACGTCTAGACGCAATTAAAATCCCAAACAAGTTACTTTTATAAATAGAATAAAAACAGTCAGAACTATTCTTAAATATAATCTTTTGGCATTAAACACTTGATGGTGAAAACCAAACAGTCCTCTCATATGCTACAGATTTAGGCAATTAGGTTGATAGATGAACTCAATATTAGATCTCAGCCGTCATCTCCTCGTAGTGTGCAGCCAAACGTTTGCACATTGATGTACTCTTGAATATATGATGTAATGCTAGGCGTTAATTCATTTTTGAATTTATGGAAAGTATTTAATTGTTTTAGAATCGCTGGTAATTTATTGCAGGCTCGTATACCTGTAATGTTGAATGATCTACTGAACGAAGTCGTGTTGTGACGTGGTAAACAAAGCAGAGCTGATTCACTAACTCAATTTAGTTTCAGAGGGTTGAAGTTTCTTACGAAGCGTGTTACATGAGAATCGTTTAAAATTTTCTAAAAAAGAAGTAGAGAGTGGATTACCCGTCATTTGTCTAGAGTAAGAATACGAATTCTGTCAATAAAATCCGATCCACTTTCTTAGAACAAAAATAAACCGTACACATGCGTTCTGGGGTACTTGAAGATGCGTTGTAATTTGAATGCTATGTGGTGGAAGAGGTGAAAGTCGCAACAGTCAAAATGAGGCATGAGAAGTGATTTGATGAGAGGCTCACGTATGTTACTTGGTGAAAGTGTTCGCAGACTTAATGGAAGCCAATTTGTGTGATTTTAAGTGATGTGTTTTTGATTTAATTTATCCACTGATTGTCTCTAATTAAAATTACGAATAATAAATAACCAAATAGACAATCAAAAATCATTAAAAAGTAAACAAAACTATGCTTGTAAAATTTTCCCGTAAGACCCTCAACTAATTAAAATTCCTTTTATTAAAAAGTGGATCGGTAAAAGCCTAGAATTTTATTACCATGTTGAAGAACAAAGAATTTAAAGTATTTTGGGGGTTCTTCAACGTGGTTAATCTACATCACCTTAATATAGATTAACATATTACCTTATTTTGAAATAATTATCATCGAGGACCTCTTTGCTGCCGTAGAGGAATGTTCATTTATTCTGAAACATCCTGCACGGCGCACTGACAAATGAGCGTGCTCCCAACGCGGGGCAGGGCGTTCCCGTAAGGTCTCACTTTCTTTGTCCCACAACCGATGCATTTCCTTTCAATGGGGGTTACCAACACTTCAAACTGATGTAAAAAGGCTGTTATCCTACGCGTCTTTCAGATATTTTCCCAAAGTTACAGTACTAATTCTTCTTTTACTTTTATTTTGTGAGGATGTTGCTTAAGAGACAGTGAGGTATTGTTGTAATATCACAAGCTATGTTTAAAGGATTAAAATGACTTCAATAATTTTACTGCTTAGAAAATGTGTTTGAAACAAATATATGTAAAATTTGTAATTATGCTAATTCAGAATATCTAGAGCTCGCAGGATCTCGTGAAGATAGTCTTTATATTTGAAACAACAAGAGATTCGTTTAGAAAGACGTTCCACTTAACCTAAGTTCGTGGGTTAGAGAATAAGTTTTACAATGTGGCAACTGATTGAAAGTATTGGAAATATATAAAATTCCAATAAAAAAAATTATAAACGTTTTTTGTGAGAAAGTGAGTGAGGAAGAGAGAGTTCAACCAAGGAGGAGCAAGGCAGGGAGAGGTTGGGCAAGGCGGAGCGGAGATAAAATAGAATATTTACAAGTTGGCTTCACGGGAGGGTGGGAATAGATGGAGTATTTTCCTACCTAATAAATTATTGGTATAAATACCTCGGCAACGCGTGGTACTTCAGCTAGTTACAATGTATTGGCAGAAACAAAACTGATATTAAAATCCAGCATACTTTGTATTGTTCCTTAATTCTGTCAATAATGTATTTTAAATTACTGTGGTTATTAGCTTATAGTGTATTGCGCTCTTCTGGTGTTAAAATATTTTATATTTAAGTAAAGTACTAATGTAAACAAAACGTAGCTTTCTGTAACGTTCCTCGATTAATTTCACAATTTTCTCCTACTTCTTTTTCCCCTTTCTTTGCTTCATTCTTCCCTCTCCCTCACAAATTTTCCAATTTTTCCTTCATGATCCCTTTCCCTGAAAGTCTTTTCTCTTTTTTCACTGAACGTCTCCTTCACTACTATGTATAACATATTTTGTGCTATTACTGTTCGGCCACAAACCGCCATCCTAATTGAGCTCTTTCAGGGTTTACTCAATCGCTTAAGGAGTACGTTGGGATAGACCTTGTCTCGCACTCCAAGTTATAAATGTCCGGCTTGTTCTACCTCTTTTCTTCTTTACTTATATTTATGTTTCCCTTATCTTCCACTTTCTCCGTGAATTGATTATGTTCAGCCCAAAGCCGCACCCTGATAAAGGTCCAATGTGTTTACTCCAGTGTTTGCCAACTGGCGGAGAAAGAACGCCGGAGCTCCGCTCTATTTCCCGAGCGCCTGCTCGAAGCGGTGCGAGCAAAGGGTGGCGGGAGGTAGGGGCAGACGGATGTCGCCGATAACGAAAACCGGTGAGCCTTTGCCGATGTTTCAAGGAACATGAGTGGGAGACCATCTACTGCCGTTAATTTTCTTTCGGTGAGGAAAGAAAGATTTCCTTTTGTAGATAGCATAACAATGGCGAAGTGTTTAGAGTATTCGAAAGAAATTCAGTATGTTAAAGAGTTCAACTGACAGAGGTATTAAGAAGCTTTGCAACTCAGAGAAACCCGTGAGATAAAAACAGGTTCTGAGAATTTGCAGATAGCCTGCAATCATGAAATGAAAAAAGGATTTTGCAAATAGAAGATTATGTAAATTGTAAATTTTATTGTTTTTTCGCAATTAAAAGAAACTGGACAATGGTGGCGCAATTCTGACTTCAGATTCAGCGCTTTGACATACATAGAGAAACGTGTCAAATTTTTTGGGCCTTTTTATATTGCTTATTTACATTTTTTTTATTTTGTATGCCGTGATATTGGTTTGGGACGAACTAACATAGTTATGATATATA